ACAGCCAAAATACATTTGGATACTTTTTCAAAGTTGTCAAATTGCAGGTCCACACAGTTTGGAGTAACTTTAATAACAATCACATTTAAAAGCCAACACAAAATTGCATCCGGACCAATCCAGTTATATCGTGGCGATATTGCTTTTGAATAGGTTTCGGATGTAAGTTATTCTCTGACGTTGAAAAATCAGGCACAGATTGTGGAAATAATATCGCTCTAATGTTATGTCACTGGACTATTAAAATAACAAAAGCATTTTGTTTGGAATGTCATATTTTCCATAATTTCAAAAGTTGTAGCAACAGGAAAGAGCCTTCTTTAAAAACAGAAGAGCAGTATCATGCCGGATTGAGATAGCATTATTATGTAGGTGATAATGTGGATTGATTTGACATTCCTATTTCAAGTAAATGTAATTTTACAAACATTATAAACTATTATTTTATAACTTAAGATTGTCTAGTGAGTATTAAATTATAACTGTAAGAAACCGTAGGTTTATTTATGTTTCTACTTTTATATAATAAAAAAAAAACGTTATATGTCAATCAAAACTTGGGGGCTAAGCCCAATCAATGTTTATAGGTCATATAAAGGCAAGTGCCACTTATGTATGTTTTTCGACGGTGTGTGTAAAGATGCTTTTCAATGTTTACTACTTTAAACTGCTATTTTTTCAGCAAAATAAATCTAACAAAAAATGTATATTTACGAGAATAAACTATTTTTTCCCCCATGGTGTTCTAGCCAAGAAAAATCTTACGTTGTAATAGGCTTATTTACACTGAAATGAAACAAAATGCCATCAATACTAACCGGATATAAAACAGCCATAAAAGTTCCACCCTTGCAATAAGGTGGGAAGTATACTTGCAGGATCAAAAGTCAATGGTTTCAAGTTGAAAATTTAATCTCACAAAACTATTCATTGGGATATTTCAAACAAAACTATAGCATTTTAAATACATAAAATTGAAAACAATTTTAAATTTATTGTTTTAAAAGTTTAAGAATATCAGTGATATGATGTTTGGCTAGGTACAACATGAACGTGCAATACGGAATGGAAACATAAAAAAAAAAAAAAAAAACTCTTCACTGCTCAATTTTACTCTATGCTTCAACAATAACAGAGTTAATATACTCTATGGAGCTGATTGGCCAGACCGGATATTGAATGCTTCGTCCGCACTTCCTTTTGAAGGCAATCGCCGCCATCTTCATTTCATCACTTTCATTTTCATTGTGTTTCCGTTTTCAATCATCACTCGGACGAGAAAGACTCACAACTCCAATCGCTTTCACTGTTTGTTGTCAAATTTGTAGATTTAAATTTCGCTAAAACTACGAGTAAGCCATAAAACACCTTAATTCGGAAGTACATCGTATTTTTTTGTTTAGTTATATACTTTGACATCTAAAGTTGCCTTCAGTTTATATTTCAATATGATAGTAGTTTTAACAAACGTAAAAACTACATATGTTGACCTCTTTAACCAGGAACGACCTTCCTTTACAAACCATTGATGGTCCTACACGACCTCGCCTTCATGTTATTCAATGTGGGTTTCAGTGTAAACCTACTGTACATTTGACTAAAAACTACTGACTTTAATGTGTTTATGTAGCACTTATTGTTCAATTTGCCAAAACATTTGTGAATTTTAGCAATTTTCGTTTTTAGGTGTTGTGTTACTGAAACGTTTAGTAAGTGTCATGCAATGTATGGTTATGTATAGTAAAAATGGAAAAGTAAGTAAAAACTTAAATAAAACCATAGCTATATCATAGTGCGGCATTCGTATTTATAATTTACTAAAAACTAAACTGTGTTTTCCTCTGGAAAATTAATATGTTTAGAATTTAATAAATCATTTAAGGAATGTTCCCTTTGTAAAAATACTATATAAATATCATTCCGATTAATTACATATTTTAAAGAACAATAACTCAATTAATTTACTACTTCCACACAACCCCTAGTGCAGTTTATAGCTTGATAAGTATCTAGGACAAAAATGATAAAGTAGGCCTAATTCTAGTTGATGACCAAATTTTACCTTAGAGTCAAAACTCTAAGACACAACTACCACATTATTAGTGATGTGTTTTCTTTTCTTCAAGAATTTAGGTCAATAGATCAATATCGTAAAAACTCTCGGAAGTTTTGAAAAATAACTCCGAAATTCAAACTTCAAAGAATAATTTATTTCAATTCAACTCTCACAAATCTCCAAGGCAATTTCTAGTTTGACAGATCCTTTTAAACAAATTGCGTTTTCAACTGTTACCAACTCCAAGTTATTGACAAGGTAATCCTTTAACAGACCCACTTTCACACAACACTACTTCTCTTCCAGCTGTCAAATATAGACGATGGAAAATGTGACTTAAACTAGTTGTGGTGAATGGAACGTAATACATATCTCAAAGTTAACGGATTTTATAAACATTTTAGGAACGTTTCATAGATTTTTAATTAGATATTCAACGATTGGAGGTGATTTTCCATGACTGTTAAAGTTCTTAAACACTATTTAATCTTAGAGCTAATTCATATAACGACGTTGGTCTAGGAATACTTCAAATAAAAAGTTTAGACTTATGAAATGTGTGGTTGAGAGCTTAATGATGAATTGTGTAAAGACGTACAAATTCTTCCAATTTGTTTGTAAAAAAACCAGTACTAATTCTGAATAAGAGTATCTATAAATTTGGGAAGTTAAAACTCATCCCATATTCCTTTTTTGGGGCGGCGACATTTGAACCATGACTAGAAGGGAGACTTCTGCTACACCATGCAATAATTCAATGTTCAGCCTTGTTCATTTTGGACAATGTTTACGTCTATGTATGTTGGATACTTTCTCAAGTTGTCAAATTGCAGGTCCACACAGTTTTGAGTAATTTTAATTACAATCACAATTAAAAACCAACGAATTGCCTCCGGACCAATCAGCTGACTAAGCTTCAAATGGAACATGACGCACATTTATTTATTTCAAACCAGATTGATGTTAAACCCCACTCAGAACTGCAGCAATTACTACTGACATGTATTCAACTCATGTTACATGATATAAACTCAATATAAACTAACATTGTCTCGTATTCATTGACTTAACTTGAGTGGTGGTGACGAGAAACCTTATAAACAATGCTCAGTTACTTAACACGTTTAAAGAGGCTGAGGCAATGAAAGCGCCCCAATTTATAAATAGTACAAATTCAATACTATTTACCCTAAATATTTAAATCGCACATCAAAACACAGCTTATCTTTTGCTAACTTAACAAAGTCATTTTTCCATTTCTTGAAAACAAAACCCTTTAAGTGACATACCTACTTGTTTTAAGTCTTCAAACTAGGTGGATAGAGTTAAAGAATAACACAAGTCAAGTGCAACGATTGTAAGTGATGAGATGCAGGAAATGAAAACGTTGAGAACTCTAGGCGGCTTAGTGTACAGTAGATTGTCTGCCTCAGTCATTGATTGTGTAATGACTACAATGATATTGTTTATAGATTTATTGATTTTTCTCGGTTTCACACATTGTTTGTGGTTTACTATAGATATAAAAATTTCATAACTCTCATAGATTGTGTGTTGTGTGTAATGTGTCTCATGGAATTCATTGTTACACAGTTTATTTATGTTTTGTATGTTTGTTAGTTTGTTAACATATTGTTATTAGTTTATCTTGCAGTTGGTTTATCAAGTTATTAGATTTGCGTTGATTATTGTTTTGCTTGTTGTCTTATTATTGTTATAGTTATCAATGTATCTTGGTTACCCAATTCCGTTGTGTTATTACATTTTTATTTGATCATTTAATTAAATGGTGTTGACTGTTGATTGAATGAATAAATACTGACTAATAAACTAATACTGACATTTGAATGAATTTGACTAATACTGACCAAGAGTGGCTAAAAGTCCTACAGCACAAGTCAAGGTGTGATCAACCGTGCATAATCGGCTTTAGTGTAAACATGCGCAGCACGACCATCCCCCCGAGCCCCAAAATTAATCCGCTTACTAATTTCTTAATCACCTGCGCAGTTGCACCGTGTCCGTTTAAACCCACCGTTTGTCAAATCCTCATACCTTTCTGCTAACTCTCAGGTCATAAGTTAAGATCCAAATGAAGACTTTTTGGCTAAGTGGAAGAGAATCATTTTAGCTTACATTTTACTGATATAGAATTGCTGTTTTATTTATTTATTTATTTTTTGTTATTATTATATGTGTTTTGTGATGGAAATGTCGTTTCATGAAAGACAATTATTGAATGGGTTTGACAACGGCAAAACTATAAAATTGATTATTTCTAACCAATTTAAAAAAATGTTTATTTTATTTTGTGTTATCCTTGATACTTATAAACTATGTCTTAAGTAAATGGAGGTAAGAGAAGACTACTAACTAAATAACATTTAAAAAATTAACAATAATTTTATCAGCTACATAAATACAACTTCCTGCAAAACTAATTTAATTTTATTATGAGTTTATTTATGAGTGAAATGATTTGATTCAAAATGAATAATTATGCATATTAAGTGGACTTGAATAAAAAATAATTTTTATTAGCATTTTAGTGATATCAAACATATTTTACTGATCAATAATAGGCTATATTTTTCTTTATAAGATTGAACATTTTTCAGTACTGTAACTCACAAGGTTGTAACTAAATCACAATCATTGCTTTCATTGAAGGGCCAATCCCCTAAGGTTCAAAACTTTATATTCATATTATTATTAGTAAATCAAAATTAATAATTGTATAACAAATATTTACAATGTATTAAGTGCAAGTTATTAGCATATTAATTTCAATTCTATTTTTAACTTTTTTTAATTTTCATTTGTTTCAATAATTTTTATCTTCCTTCAGAATAAACTTTTGTTTGCAGGTTGATATTTTTTTCAAACAAGTAACTTAACCTTTTTAAGATAATTAATAGGCATTTGAAAGAAATTTCTAAGGGTAGACCTTTGTAAATTAATAATTATATTGTACACACTAAGAAATGATAAACAAAATGAAGCTAAAAGACTGTATATTTAAGACAATAAAGACCTCTTACACAATTCAAATATAATTGTGGAATTTATATACAAAATATTGAAAGTAAACATAAATTTAGGGACAGAAATGGATTGAACAGATTAAATTAAAGGATGAGTTTTCTTATCGTAAATTTGACTGAAATTTAACTATGGAAGAAGTTATTTCTTGCTGTAGAGAGCTCTGACGACAGGCAGGAGCTGGGATGTTGTAGCAAGGGACCGCGCCGTTGTTGGACAACGACACACCCGGACAACGATAAACTTGGACAGATTAAGTTTCCAGGATTGTCTTTTGCGTGCTACGTTAAACTTGGACACATTTGAATATGTCCAGATTCATCGTTGTCTGATTAAGGCGGGGTCTGTTTTTATCGTTGTCCGCGTTTAATTTTGTCCAACTTCGAGATCGTCCCAATTGTAGCAACGGGTGAGAGGACGTCCTGTGTAGCCAGGCGGACACGAGCACACGGCTACATGGTTACGAGCGTTGCACACAGCGTCAACACCACACTGGTTTGTACAAGACGAAACGCAATTGTAGTTGGTGCAGTTCTGGTCCTTACGGCAGTCGTTATCCGTGCTACACTCGTCTCGTCGACAGTAGGACAACGGATCTCCCAGGTACCCAGGGATGCAGGTGCAGACAGGTCGTTCCTCAAAAGAAAGATGCTCCAGCTCACACCTGGCGTTCGTTCCACACGGGTTCGGGGTACAAAGATCGGCTGGGGGAAATAAATTAGTGTTAGGAGAAATATGTTAAATACATGTTTTAGATGGTTAAGTTGTAACATCAATAATTTCAGTTTCTAGAAATAAACAACAAGGATTGTCTATAGTTCTCAATACGACATCAATTTTTTATAGCGAACATCCACAGGTAGCAACAAAATTGTATGGTAAATAAATTAATAAACAAATAAACAACATTTAAAAAATGGTCGTATCGTAGGTTAAGTAAGTAATGTAAGCAACTCACATAACTAGCCTTTACTACACTGTCAGTTTTAATGGCACATTCCAAATCACTTTGAATATAGTTTGAAATATTTCACTACAACAAAACTTTAAGCAACAGTAATATATAATTAAATTATTTACAGAAAAAAAGTTTGATGTGTTGACAATTATTACTCAAATAGCTTTTTCGGTTTTCCACAAAATTTAAACTAGTACTGTATTTAAATAATAATTGTCAAACTTAAGACTGTGTTGCTATCTTAAAAATATATCAATTCAATTTAACTAGGACGAGATGCCAGCCCGTCCTACGTACGGGAATTGAGTAGTCAGTTAAAACTGTGTACAATTCACAACAGGTAGTTTACACGTATAAAGACAAAATATTTTCTTGCAGTTTTAATATGAAAAATCATCTTGTAAACAAATGGTGCGTGGCCAAAGATGTTTTATTCCATCATAGGCCCATACGATATGCATTTTAAATCCCATAATTTTACAATAAAACAGCAATTGTGACGATGTGAAAAGCGTTGAAGTGAGATTTGCGGCCGATTCGCACCCTGATTATAAGTAGCCAACAGTAGAGAGTAATAGCGTTGACTATTAATATAATAATTCAGTATCCAATAGTCAATGGTAATAGTCAATTGAGAAGTGTAGGCCTAGTCAACAATACCACCTTCCATCGCATATCTGCCTCTTCCATAATTTTGATCACCACAATACAATTACTCATACTATACACAGTTTCCAGAAGGTTTGAATAGAAACCACCTAAAATAAAACGATATTATCCAATAAAATTCACAGTAGGCCTACACACAATATAACTTTGGTATCCTAACATCATTAAACGTATCAATTTCACTGAATCAATTGCTAAATAAATAAGATTAAGCAAAGAAAAGTCAAAACAATAACATAAAGTTTGTTTTGAATTAGCTGTTTGGTTAAAATAACATTCATTTGAAAAAAATAACTGATCACATGTTGAAAGACTTTAAAAAGTAAACACGCTAGTAAAGCTAGTGACGTAATTATCTATGTTAATTATCCATACCGTTATCAGTTCTAATATCTGTAATAATTACCCACCTATTGAATCAACCTACATCGTAATTTCCCATATTAATTTATTAAAAGTATAAGATATTTATAGTTGAAATAAAAGTGATATTTTGCCTACATCAGCGCCCCCACACGTAACCACACCTAAACACATGCCAAACAATCTTTTTTTTTAGATATCATAAAAGGATGTTTTGTTTAATTGCAGTATCCTAGGTCAATGATGCCGCTGTGTTCAATCTGTGTCATCCATCAGTTTATCTTTGGATAAAACCCGGCTGAGGTTGTGGTGGTAATCTTAGTCTATCAAACACTCTCCAAACAGTTGTTGTCGGAGACAGTGAAACACCTCAGGCTCCTGCCGATGAATGGGCATTGATAACTATACAAACACTAGCAGTAATCCTGTTAGACAAATTGCAAAGGGACTGCCGAAGGGACCAGTGGAAGTGCGGATTAGGAGACCATACTTTAGACCGGGACCAGTAGTAGTGGGGTACCTGACTTATGGGACCAGTGTAGTCCCCCAGAAGGATAAGTGGTCCAACGCCACGTTTTAATTCCGGAACCTGTTGACAACGGAATGTTTTGCCTTCAGAAGTAATAGGCATGTTACCCTTGAATCTTTCAAACCAAGTTTCCGGAACATAATTTTTTGAAAACGATTAAATTGAAAACTTATGTACTTTATGTCTAATGATATAGGAATATGTTACTGTAAATATAATATTAAAATGAGCTTTTACAATTATTGTCAAAGCTCAACTTAAAATCAGCCTCTAATACTCACTTTCACACTGGGCCAGCCCTGGTATCCAATTACCGTTAAAACAAACAGCAACGATCTTAGTTGTATTTAGCTTGTAGCCAGGGTTACAGCTGAAGTAGATAACCCAGTTAGGAGGAACGTAGGCTCCAGGTATCATCTGACAAGCCGGGGTTGTATCTCCAGTACGGCATCTGTTTCTGCTGGGGGAGTAGCGGCCGTTCTGTAACTGGTCAGGGATCGTACACCAGCCTCCTTGTACCTGCCTGATATACACAACAGTCAGAACATACAGTTACAGTAGATGACTCAGTCTGTAGGAACGTAGGGTTCAGGTATCATCTGACAAGCCGGGGTTGTATCTCCAGTACGGCATCTCTTACTGTTGGGGGAGTAGTGGCTGTTCTGTAACTGGTCAGGGAACGTACACCAGCCTCCTTGTACCTGCCTGATATACACAACAGTCAGTACATACAGTTACAGTAGATGACTCAGTCTGTAGGAACGTAGGGTTCAGGTATCATCTGACAAGCCGGGGTTGTATCTCCAGTACGGCATCTCTTACTGTTGGGGGAGTAGTGGCTGTTCTGTAACTGGTCAGGGAACGTACACCAGCCTCCTTGTACCTGCCTGATATACACAACAGTCAGTACATACAGTTACAGTAGATGACTCAGTCTGTAGGAACGTAGGGTTCAGGTATCATCTGACAAGCCGGGGTTGTATCTCCAGTACGGCATCTCTTACTGTTGGGGGAGTAGTGGCTGTTCTGTAACTGGTCAGGGAACGTACACCAGCCTCCTTGTACCTGCCTGATATACACAACAGTCAGTACATACAGTTACAGTAGATGACTAAGTATGTAGGAACGTAGGGTTCAGGTATCATCTGACAAGCCGGGGTTGTATCTCCAGTACGGCATCTCTTACTGTTGGGGGAGTAGTGGCTGTTCTGTAACTGGCCAGGGAACGTACACCAGCCTCCTTGTACCTGCCTGATATACACAACAGTCAGTACATACAGTTACAGTAGATGACTCAGTCTGTAGGAACGTAGGCTCCAGGTATCATCTGACAAGCCGGGGTTGTATCTCCAGTACGGCATCTCTTACTGTTGGGGGAGTAGTGGCTGTTCTGTAACTGGTCAGGGAACGTACACCAGCCTCCTTGTACCTGCCTGATATACACAACAGTCAGTACATACAGTTACAGTAGATGACTCAGTCTGTAGGAACGTAGGGTTCAGGTATCATCTGACAAGCCGGGGTTGTATCTCCAGTACGGCATCTCTTACTGTTGGGGGAGTAGTGGCTGTTCTGTAACTGGCCAGGGAACGTACACCAGCCTCCTTGTACCTGCCTGATATACACAACAGTCAGAACATACAGTTACAGTAGATGACTACGTCTGTAGGAACGTAGGCTCCAGGTATCATCTGACAAGCCGGGTTTGTATCTTCAGTACGGCATTTGTGTCTGTTGGGGGAGTAACGTCCGTTTTGTAACTGGTCAGGGATCTTGCACCAGCCTCCTTGTACCTGCCTGATATACACAACAGTCAGTACATACAGTTACAGTAGATGACTCAGTCTGTAGGAACGTAGGGTTCAGGTATCATCTGACAAGCCGGGGTTGTATCTCCAGTACGGCATTTGTTTCTGTTGGGGGAGTAGTGGCTGTTCTGTAACTGGCCAGGGTTCGTACACCAGTATTTTAGTTGCTATTTAAGGAATCTTATGCTACAAACATTTCCTCACTTGGTTGAAATTAAATATTTAAATACTATTTGAATTTTTGTTGGCGTAAACATTACAATGGAAAAAAGCGAGAAAGCCTGGACAATTTGATTTACTAAAAAGAAAACTGAATTAACACTGTGCTGCATTTCTTAAGCTATCATTGAATGAGCCGATTTGCATACTTTGGTAACATAGGAAAGTCATTAAAAACCACCAAGTAGAAGAAATGGTGATAATGTTTTTTTTTAGAATTTATAATTTCTATTTTAAACAACCTAATGCGGCTATGAGTGGGAAAATTTGTAGAAAACACAAAAAAACAAGATCAGCTTTTGAAAAATGATAATATTTATAAGAAATGTTGATTATATCGAACTGTTATGTACATCGTGAGTATTTTCGTAATCATCGAATCGACTCTTTTAAAGTCATCGTAAATTATGACCGTTATTCGTTTTAAAATAACGCCTGTAATACTTAGCAAATTCCTCGAATTCGAGCAACAGGTACACTAGTATTTTTTTTAAATTATGACCAAGACAACTTTATTGCATGGTTTATTACCTGACAGTTTTCCGTACATAAACGACCGCTGACGTTAATCTTCCATTCTCAGACTGAGGAGGACGACCGTTTGAATCGCCTTCAACTGAAAATACATATGTTTTAGAAGCCTAAAAAAGAGATAGTGAATGAATTATTTTAGATATCATACAACAATATCGTAAAATAACAAGCTGTATGTAGAATTATAGACAACGGAGGGACCCGTTTAATAGGGTTCAAAACATATTTTTATAAAACAAAACGAATAACGCAATACCATTTTACTTGTGCAAAATTTTGTTCTAAATTTTTGTTGTGTTTGTATATTTTTGTTGTAAATAAAACAACTAAATTACAATTTATGTAATTTCTTGACTTTACATCTACACCAAAAAGCCTCAATCAGGTTTCATGTATAAAAAAGTAGCCTATTTATTTATAAATACATATTTATAAATGGTTTTTTCTCTGGCATACAATAGGTCTGTAATTAAAAGTGTTAACTAGAGGATTGGCTGTATACATTTAAATTAACGTGTAAACCGTTAAAACAAATTTCTTTCGAATAAATATAGTCTCAATGGCGAGTGTAATAAGGAGAAACGTTAGTAGGTTTTATAATTAACACAGCGTTATAAAAGTACGTGATAGAAACAAACAGCAAACAAACATCAGATAAAATATTATGGTTTGTAAAAACAACTACAAAGAACCCTGTGAATTTTAAGGATATATCAAATATTGCCACTTAACAATAACTAACTGACACTAACTAACTGACTACTGTTAACTTAACTTGGTGGCTTGGGTTGTTGGGACAAACCAGAAGCAGAAGCGCGAAGAATGAAAATAACTAGCAAAGGAAAATCAGAACTGTTGCCACAACAAAACATTAACTATCAACAATCTGATTGTATAGTGTAAAAAAGTCGCCATTGACTATAAATATATGAATTCATCACTTACCACTTAGGGTTCTTGATGAAAGACACACAATCAAGGAAATAATAGCACATACGTTTCCTAGTGTCATAACTAACACAGCATACAATTTACACAGATTTTAGATGTCACAAACGTCACTCAAAGGGATCAAAACTGTAAGTATCATTGACTTTGTCAATAATTATCACGCCGGGTAAAAGACCGATTATAGCTTCGTAACACTGTCCTTGTGTTATTTACTTGGCGAACATTGGTTTCCCCAGCATGCAGAGAACTGTAGTGACATCTGCCGACTTCCAACAGACTGGCTCTCAAACCGACCAGTTGATTGGACTACCAGCTGCTGCGATAACTTGATGTTGACCCTGACCATAACCCACGACTGACGTCTCTGTGGGTTTAGCCAGTTAAGACAAAATTAAATTTACTGTACTTATCACATTTATAATAGAAACTGTTCTCAGCCAGTTTTCCTCGTTTAACAGGCGGATTTCTGCATATTCTGCTGTAGCAGATAAATGGGATAGCAGGCTGGGATTTTTCCCAGCCTTGTGATCAACTCCAATCGATTTCTCGTGGAAAAAATACCCCATATTATAGAAAAAATCTAAAATCCTCGGACAGAAAAAAATTTTGCTCGTAGTTTGCTTTTTTAGATTATAGGATAGGATTAGTCTATCAAGTTATTAGATTTGCGTTGATTTTTTTTTGCTTGTTGTCTTATTATTGTTATAGTTATCAATGTATCTTGGTTATCCAATTTCATTATGTTATACTATTTTTATGTGATCATTTAATGAAATGGTGTTGACTGTTGATTGAATAAATAAATAATAGAAGGTAACATTCTAAATACACATAATTCAAACTAGGGTACATACATAAAGAAATACACTGAAGCTGTAAATGATAACGGTCTTTAGTAATATCGTCAAACAATTTCCCATATAATGAGTAGAAACTCCATCACGTCAGAGTGCAGTAACCCGGATATGATCTATGTACAGAGCTGACCCAGCCTCCGACCACGTCAGTCGCCAGTTGTCACGGTCGTCCCAGAAATCGCTCTTGGCCTAAACAAACAACAGATTTGGGTTTCGTACGATTAGTTTTTGGAACAACCAGTGGTATTTAAGGAAAGATATTAGGTAAATGCAAACCAGACCTATTTACACACATTTCAAATTTAGACTAATTCATTGTAAAAAATAAGAAAATATTACCTGATGTAGGTAAACTATGAATATACTATGGGTAATCAAATGCATTGCATTTTATTCTTATTGGTAAGCATTGACAACATTGAGGACAATACATTTGCTATTAATCTGTAGTTGAAACATACAGTATATATCGAGGAGTCTTGTTATTGGTTTAGATTTCGTTGGTAAGTAGACATTTCAATATCACGAATTAACAGCTGGTACTTCTACTTTTAACCCGTGCATGTATTAATGCTCGTTGGGATTAAGCTTTTGAAATTGAATATTTGTACCAACAATACTTAAGTATACAAATTAAATTCTGTAAAAAAAAGAAAATGACGTGTAGACGTTATAATGTTAAAATATTACCTTGAAATCCAAATTCCTCCAAGGCTTGGGTTGTCCTTGATTGACGCAATCATCCGGAAAATCCCGTTCACTTCCAGCTGATAGTCCAAGTGATATGTAAAACTGTAACAGTAAGCTGAACCTGTACAGTGTACACCTACCATTGGTGGTCACTTCCAGCTGATAGTTCAAGTCCAAGTGATATGTAAAACTGTAACAGTAAGCTGAACCTGTACAGTGTACACCTACCATTGGTGGTCACTTCCAGCTGATAGTTCAAGTGATATGTAAAACTGTAACAGTAACCTGAACCTGTACAGTGTACACCTACCATTGGTGGTCACTTCCAGCTGATAGTCCAAGTGATATGTAAAACTGTAACAGTAACCTGAACCTGTACAGTATACACCTACCATTGGTGGTCACTTCCAGCTGATAGTTCAAGTGATATGTAAAACTGTAACAGTAACCTGAACCTGTACAGTGTACACCTACCATTGGTGGTCAATTCCAGCTGATAGTCCAAGTGATATGTAAAACTGTAACAGTAACCTGAACCTGTACAGTGTACACCTACCATGGTGGTCACTTCCAGCTGATAGTCCAAGTGATATGTAAAACTGTAACAGTAACCTGAACCTGTACAGTGTACACCTACCATGGTGGTCACTTCCAGCTGATAGTCCAAGTGATATGTAAAACTGTAACAGTAATCTGAACCTGTACAGTGTACACCTACCATTGGTGGTTATTACTGCTGCAACGCAGTTAAACACAAAGTTGCTATACAAACACTTGTAGCAGCCTTAAATACATAACTATAAACAAATTTGAAGAGCTTACTTTATACGTGATTGCAAGCAAACATGATGTTGTGATACTTCTATAGGAGGAAACATACATTCATAATACACACAATTAAATAAAGTTCACTACGATTTTCAAAATTAAAGCAAATAGTGCCACGACCATCACTGATATTTCAAGGTCCGCTAAAAGCAGTAAAAATTCTACAAGAGGAATATTTGTTTTAACATAAAAAATTCCAAATAAAAGCTTAACCATTTTATTTTTGTTTTAATTTACTTTCATAATTCTTTCTATTTCACAGTAATTTTAAAGTGAGGAGGATTCATTAAACACTATTCAAACTCTTATATTACTAACTATAAACATTCAATTTACAATGCCGATTCTCAGCATTTAGAGATTACTAGCAGAGTACCCGTCCTTCGTACGGGGTTGGCGTATAAGTATAAAATGCTTATTGCAGTTATACTCAAGCTTTGCGTTTGCAATGGGAGAGGACACGGTTTGAGAAGATTGGTTCTATTAATTTACGGTATGCTATAGTAACACATCTACCATAGCCATTATAGTGCTCTACCACTGCACCTAAACAATATAGAAAAGAGTAAATTGCCAAATATTAGCACAATATCACAAATTATGTATGCAATATATTGTGGTACTGTATACTTATGTAGGTTATGTTTTTCACTGAGATATTTACGTCTTTATCGAAAGGTGCGATGGTTGATCCATTACTCCAGATGGAACAGTTTTCATCAGCAGCGTCAGCCCCACAGAGATGCCCTCCGTCTAACGCCAGCTCTCTCTCATTCTCATTGTCGACTTTGAAAGAAATGCTTCCTGAAAAGAGTAAAGTAATTGTTATGAATTACTTAGTGCCATAAAACGTCCCTTCATAATACTACCATTGGCTCCCTTTCACTGTATTGTTGTTCATGAAAGACTTTATTTATTTATTTAACGGACAAACCATTATATAACAGAATCATAATACAACTTTTGTAATACAACTTCAATGATGACTAAATAACAAAAAGTGCAACCAGTAATAACAATAACAATAATAACGAAACGAATAACAATGGAGTAACAATGAGAATAAAGAGAACAATAAAGAGCAACGAGAACAACAAAGAACATAACAAGCATTTAAAAATTGATTGAGAGAGTATAGTCTTGGAGTAGACAGGTCTTAATTAATCCAGTGGAAGTGAGCTGATCAATATTTTGAAGCATGTGGCGCTGCAGTTAAAGAGATCAATTTCAGGTGGCAGAGAGTTTCCCAGAGCTTCTATGTGAGCGATGGCACTGTGCTGTTCATAAAGCGTTCATAAAGCTGTTCATAAACACCTAGCAAATAGCTCCCTCAATCTGGTACCCCCTGGAACATGGAAACCAATCCGCTCAAGCAACTCCGGGCAGAGTATCTCTCCGTTGACCAGTCAATGCAGGAACATCAGATAAATGATTTTCCTTCTATACACCAGCGTACGTAGATCCAAGACAGCTGCCAAGACGCTCACTGGAACATCTGCGTAGTGGTATCCAAGGCGAAGACCTACCAGGCGGATAAACCGGACCTGTATTGACTGGAGTCTTTCTTGAAGATAGAGTTGGTATGGGGTCCACACTTCTGAGCAGTATTCTAAATGGGATATGACGAGGTGAGAATAGAGGCTTTTCAGTGCCAAGGGAGACAAAAGTGTTGTGAATATCGGGTTATCAGACCCAAGTTATTATTTGCCTTTACACTTACATACACTACGTGCTTTTCTGGACTCAATGAAGCGGTGCAAATAACACCCAAGTCCTTAATCTCTAAGACTCTGTCGAGATTGCACCCATTCTTTAGTTGTAGAATACAGGAGCCAAGGTCCTGTGAAAAGTCATGATGAGGCATTTTGAAGTGTTCCGAGACATACTGTTCTCGACACACCATCTCTCCACAGCAGAAAGACTATCCTGGAGCTCATAGAAGTCATCGATAGATTTGATGGCTGAATACAGCTTGATGTCGTCAGCGAACAAGAGGTGCTTGACATGATTGACTCTGGAGATGTCGTTGATATTGAAAAGAACAGGACTGAGATGTAAGCCCTGGGGGGCACCAGATGTAGCAGAGATTGATCTTGGGGTACATGAAGCAAACTTCACCATCAGTTTTCGGCCACAGAGTTAAGACGAAAACCAGACCAGCAATGGGTCGTGGATCCCGTGAGACGACAGTTTAGCTAGAAGGTAAGGGTGGCTGACACTGTCAAAGGCTCTGGAAAATTCTAGGAATATTGTGTCAACCTGCCTGCGATTGGAGAACGAGGAAATGATGTCGGAGTAAAACTTGATCAAATTTGTCATAGAAGATCTACCCGGTGAGAAGCCATGCTGGTAAGAAGAAATAGAGCTTGGAGTCGACTTGTACTTTATGAAGATACTTAACATGTATTTATTGACTCTATGACGTGATCAAGAGATATTTTCAAAGAAACTTCCTCCAATAAATTGTTGGTATGTTGCGAACCTAGTAAAATACGAGTATTTAACACGCACGGGAGTGTTTTATATACTGAGAGTAATATTGACAATATTGTCGTCTCATATTCTATGAGGAAAACTATGATTAAAAAGTTTTTTTTTAATATGTTAGAATGTCTGTGCGTAATATAGTTAACCCAAAGTAATGCATGATAATAAATTTAAGTCAGGAAACAAAGAGTAATATCTCAATTCGTCTTGTTTAAACACCAATGGTTTACCAGGTTTCCAAATGAGACTGTAGTTATGGAACTCATCTTGCCAGCTGTCAGGCAAAGTGGTGCGGATGAATCTTCTCCTGACTTTGTCCTCTGGACCCAGGAGAACACCGGACTCCAGCCGTTGGAGTCCTAGGTCGCCGTCCTTACACTGCAGCTCAGAGTTACCTCTGACCAACGCTATCCGGATCCGTCCTGAGCTCAACCCTGGACCGTAGACGTGGTCCTTTGGTTCTAGCCATAACTCTGTGAGCAGGGATTTAGGGTAGAGGTAGTTTATATAGCGGTTTACAATTGTGGATACGTAATACAAGAAGGTCATATAGTGATTAATTAGTATTAATAAGTGTTGGAGAAGTTGGGTAGGTAAAACGAAAACTTCCTAGACCTAAATAGGAACCTATGGATTTTTCAAACACCCCCAAATGTTTTCACTGTCATCACTAGCTACACAGCTTCTGTGCCAGTGCACCTGTGTTTAAATAAAGATGATTGATCTACATGTTTTCTATATAACAAAATACTAAACGGCTATACAGCACATAAATAAATGTAGTTTTGTGTTATATACAACTTCTATAAACTTTCATAGTATATTCTTATACCCACCAGGCACCAGCCAGTCACCCCTGGGTAACTTAGCTCTGATCTCGACCACGCCGTAGCGGAAGCTGAAGG